GCCTCCGCGGCTGTGGACATGGGTCGGCGACGGGGGCCCTCGCCCGTGGGGCACCCTGAGGCGCGGAGCCAGAGCGTGGGCCCGAAGCGTGCCTCTGTGGGGCGAGGAGAGGGGCCGCGGCTTTGCTTGCTGCCCGGCAGGAGAGGTGGGCAGAGTTAGGGCCCTTTGCCCTGGTGATGGCGGACAGCAGGCATCAAGGTAACAGCTCGTCCCTTGAACGGCTGGAGAAGTCAAAGTTCGCGGTGGCAGCGAAGGTGACCTTTGGCACAGGCAGACCCTGTGGCCGCAGTTGGCTGTCTGCAGGCAGGCGATGTGTTGGGTGAACTTGCCGCTGTCCTCAGAAAAACATGTATTTGGCCCTCCGTGGTGCGCTCTGTTGGAGTACGCGCACAACTGTTTTATTGCCTGCTGATAAATCTCAATTCATCTGATGGCTCTTTAATTGCACAGCAAATAATAGTGTTCAGAAGCACATACATGGCTTAAGAAATCAATTTTAAAAGCCTTAGGCTATTGCCAGGTAAGCAAATACATGAGAAGAGCGTAACACTATGCTGAGATTCCCATTAATGCCCTGAGAGCAATGCATTGCACCGGTGAGGTGCTACACCCAGGCCCCAAAGCTGCTGTTCCACAGAACAGCTAGTTCACTTGCATTCAGCAAATTAGTGGCGTGGCTGTGTGACTTCAAATCAGGAGCTAACTATTAGAAGTTATTCTAAAAATACCTATTGATTCCTTTGCAAACATGACCTCGACTACTTTATCTGCAGCTATCACTAAGAAACAGTAAACAATTTTTCATTGTCTTCTGATGCAAATATAAAACATCCATTGAATCCTTAGTTGTACTCTAATCCTTGTATGTACTTCAATTGAGGAGGCTTGAGGAGGGGCCTCAGGAGAGTAGCTAATAGTAAAATCTGCTAAAATATTGCCAGTATTTATGTTTTTACTACTTTGTTTGTCTTGCAGTTGCACTTCAAGGCTTCAACCAATCTAAAATCTCTTGTGCCAGGCAGAGTATTTGTCTGTGCAGTATACTTGTTAAACTATATTACAGACCATGTCCTAACTGCCTCAGGGAGAATGGAAATGTCATGGGGAGCCCAAGGGCAAAAGTTCAGTTGAGTTTGATTTTCCAATAATTGTCTAATCTTTTATTGGCCTAGGTCAGAATGCATCTTAAAAATCATCTAGAATGAGGAGAGGAAGGCATGTAGATTAGCACGGAGCCTTTAGGAAAATAAGGATCAATGAGCTTGATTGGGATATGATGGACAAGATGTTATGAAGGGTTTAACTAGGTTGTCCTTCTCTTTTACACATGTATGTGATTGAAATGTCTAATTTCTATGATTCTTCGTCACTGCAACATTCTTTCTTTAAAATACAGTTACTGTAGGCAGTCCCTTAAGCATAGCATATGTATGTGATGATCAGGCTAGCATACAGTGGGGCTTGGTACTAGAATCATCAGTTATTTGGAGAGCTTTCTCTATGCTTATATTGTTCAAAATACAGCTTGCCAAAGGACAAATACAATTATAGGCTAGTGTGAATTCTGCTCTGTTTAATTTCCTCCAAATCGGAAAGCTTTAAAGTTAGTATCTACTGCATACCTTGAAAACATTAATGATCTCTGTTTAGGGAGGAGAGGTAAATGCTGCCTCCATTTCACAGGAGAACAAATTGAGTGTCTGTGACCTCTCCACAGTGAGACATCTTTCTCATAGGTAGGAATAGAAACTCTGACTTCCGATTTTGTAGGCTGTCATTTGCATCCTTGTAAGACTATATTTTAAATAAAAAAGAAACCTCATGAGAATAACCTTTTCCTCTGTCTTGCCATTTCGTTCAGGTCAAGTCACAGTGCATTTTGCATCATTTCTGTTAAAAGTTTGCAAATTTGTAAGTACTTGAATTCGTAAGTAATTATAATCTTTCTCTTTATAGCTCAGGCCAGTCAAATCCAACCTTTTATCTTCAGAAGGGTGGGCAGACTTATGTGCTCAGGAAGAAGCCCCATGGCCCCCTTTTACCTAGAGCTCACAAGGTAAGTAACATTCTTCTTCAGCTCCAAACACTTTGTATTGCAGGTGGCTAAGTCCTATGCATGATGGTGCGGCACATTGTTGAATGTGTCCAGAAATGCAGTGAATTGCTGGATCATTTCCAATTTTCTGTGCTATACACATTAACTAAATATTTAAGAGGATACATTGTCATTCACTGTACTCATTTACGTTTGGAGCTTTTCATTGAACCTAAATTTCTGTGTCTTCAGGTCGATAGAGAATATCGTGTGCAGAAAGCCTTATTTTCAGCTGGATTTCCAGTGCCTGAGCCCCTGTTGTATTGCAGTGATGCTTCTGTCATTGGAACAGAATTTTATGTAATGCAGCATGTACAGGTTGGTCCTCCAATGTGAGAGTTTTTTTTTCTTCTCCCTACTACAAGCTGCTTTTAAATTGTCTAAAACCTTTCTGTTAGAGCCTTATCCAGCATTTACTAAGTTTTGTGATATAAATAATTCTCTGATATTTTTAAGAAATGCTAGCGATCAGAGATTCTCACTGATTTCAGCTTCTCCAGGACTTATTTCCCACTTTGTTGAAATTTTCAGCTCAGTATTTAACCTCTTGTTCTTGTTTGAGCTCTCAGAAGGATGTCTTGAAATGAGGCAATATTGCTTCTGTGAAAAGCATACATGAGTCATGGGGAGAACAATCCGGCTATAAAGTTATACTGAATCTTTGGACATCCTGGGACCTGTTTAGTATTGAAGATAGGAATCTACATACAATCACCTTGTCTTGAAAACCAAGCAGGATTCCAGCTCAAGCACTAGTTTCAGAAAGAACATGGTATAGCTCAGTCTGTGGTCCATCACTCTGGGGGTGCTGTAGCTGAGTTGATACTGTTTCTGTTAGATTTTGGTGACTCTGAGTGTAAGTCTGCTGTATCATATCTTTTTTTTACTGTGGGAGGAGGATTTGAATTCAGGCCTCTTCCCTTTCATTGCATCCTTCTTTATCATCAGGTTCTCTAGGAAATTAGAAATTTAAGAGTTTGTGGGCCAATTCCAGTAACCTTCCTACAAAAACCACGAATCAAGAGTAATAAAATGTAAAAGCTATGAAGAATTTGAAAGAATTTTCTTACATTAAAGATGGAGAATTTTTCTGGTTTTGACTAGAACAAAGTGATTCCTTAATAAGAAACCTTGCTACTGATATATTTACATTTCTAAGGATGTAAATTTACAGTCTATCCATTCTAAGATGGACAGCAGTGCACTGTTTTTAACAAATACATTGTGTATTTAGCAAACAATCATGCATTTATTGTGTTGAATAAACTATTACACAATACAGAACCTGACTTCTAGATTTGCTATGCAGAGTCTTTCAGCAAAAAAGTTCTATTGATGCTTTAGCTGTGTAAATATACTGAAGGCATCCTGCGAACCAGTGAAATAGAAGAACTTAGAGAAGAGTCTGTTTTTTCTTTTCCAATCTGTTACTCTCAGGCTCAAAATTAAAGGAGAAAATGGAAAACCACACCCATTTTCTAAACTTATTAAACTGCTTTTAGGGAGAATGCAAGTGAATTCCTTTGGATTGTTTGCCTCTTTGTCCTTACAACCCACCCATTTCCCTCCTCTCCCCCCTCCCCCCCCCCCCCCCCCCCCCCTCCTCCCCCTCCTCCTCCTCCTCCTCCTCCTCCTCCTCCTCCTCTGTGGTTATGTTTGATATTTTTTCTGGAAGTTAGCTATTAGAGATGATACAGTAACATTTTTTTTTCTTGATACCTTCAAGTTTGACAATATTTGGATTGAGCGCTGTAATTCAGACTTTCATCTACTGAATATATCTGTTATTTTAATTGCTTTACAATAGATATCCTGTATACTAATGATCTGAGATTACTGTGAATCCCTTCATCTGTCCTGGCAAGGAATAAAATAAATGAGGAAGGAATTTTTGATTGCATAGGGAGTGTTGGTTCACTGCATTTGTTTTTGCTCCTGAAATGTATAGCTTTACTTCTCTTCATTTGATGCATACATCCCACCAAATACCTGATTTAGGATGTTTCTAGGGTCGCATCTTCCAAGACCTCTCACTGCCTGAAGTGGGCCCAGCAGAGCATTCTGCTTTGTATATTGCAATGATAGAAACTTTGGCCCTGTTGCACTCCTTTGATTTACAGTCATTGGGTCTCCAAGGATATGGTAGAGGACTAGGATACTGCAGAAGACAGGTACAGCTCTTCAAAAAATTCTCTTGTTTTGTCAGGTCTTTGAAGGTTTATTTGATTTGCAAGCTAAATTGTTAATTATTAATGACTTGTAAAAGTAACCATCATATTTTAGCTATTAAACACCTTCACTTAGTTCAATTATTTGTGCACAGTATAAAGTTACTACTACCTTCAGATCAATTCTGTAATGCTATACTCAGGGAATGATATTCATTTGCTTTTGGAATAATATTAGATTTGGGCTATGTAAATAGGATTGAAATAGAAAATAGTCTTCATTGCATCTTTTGATCTCACAGTTCACATTTGCAAATGCAAAGGTACTGGGTTTTACTGAATTTACAGGTAACATGGTAATAGTCAAAGCCCAGAAGCATGTGCTTCAGAATTTTGTGCTCTTGAAAAACTTGTGAATCAGTTGGAAAATCTGTTGAAGTGTTTGTATTTCTTTAGGTATCAACTTGGAAAAGACAGTATGATGCAGCTGCTCATACAGATATTCCTGCCATGAACAAGCTGGCTGGGTGGTTAGCAAACAACTTGCCACCTGATGATAATGAAGAAAGCCTGATTCATGGGGACTTTAGAATTGATAAGATCATCTTCCACCCAACAGAGGTATTCGAAACATATTTGTACATGTTTAGTAGGTTTTGGTCCTCCATTTGTTTGTACTCCTGCCATGTAATGAGACACTTACGTGGGTGTTTTAGTGCATGATACATCTTCGAAAGGAGCAGTAGAGAACTTAACTCTTCTCTATACTCTGTGTGTGATGTTTAGGTACCTAATACAGTCCTGGTTTTCATTGCAGGAGCTGGTTACTCAATTTATTAATTAGCTCTAGTCCCTACTTCAAAGTTCAGGAACAAAACATTTTATATGCATAAATCCTATTGAATTCAGTGCAGCTTAAGGACATACTGAAGGCTCACTTCATTAAACTACATAAGCATCTGATCCAGAGCCTGTTGAAATCTGTGGTATGGCTTCAATTGACAGCAATGGCTTTTGGAACAGGATCTGAATGCATGATATGTGATACTAATGGAAGCAAAGAAAAATCTGCCAAAGCTGCTTAGTTATGGAGCACACGTAGATCACAGAGACTCTGAAAGTTCCTCATTCATCTTTAGGGAAAAGGAAGAGAGTTTTTTTCTAGTTTGTGGAAATAAATGTGTGTTACCTATCTGTCAACACAATTGCATTTTCATTATTTTTTTCCATGCTATTTGCTTGTGTTGTGACCAGAAGATATGCCTGGGATTTGTGACCAAGACTTTGCAATGCCTGCTTCACAACAAAGCAATAGATCCCAGAGATTCCCATTGTTGTGCATGGATCAGTTGATAGACACTGTTTGTAGGCTTAAATGTCCTGATTGACACCCTGAGCAGAGTATCTGGCAGTCTCAGGCACTCTTCAAGCTGTTCCTGATGTAGGTGAAAGAATTGACCAAACTGTACATAGGTAATTTTAAATAATCGGTAGAAACTGTTCCTGTATATGCAGGAATGATCATGTAGGAAAGTCTTTTGCACATAGTTCCAGTAGCCACGGATCATGAGTAGGCTGGAGTTCATGACGACAGGCGAGCTGGATTATAAGAATTCATCAGAATGACAGTCTGGGGAGTCTCAGCCTATCCAGCTGAAGACACCATTGCAAGGATGCTTGCAGCAGGGGCTCATGTCACTATCTGGGCAGTGATTGACTGTCCTATTTACGAAATTCAATTCCCCATGTAAGTGTTAATCTATGCATAATATTGTGATAAATTACGTTTTTTAGTGCATGATCTGTCCATGAGTATCTGTGCAAAAGGACTGTGCAACCGTATCTGTGCAACAGGACTGGAAACAAAAAAACCCCAACTGTCAATACTACTGTTCTTTAGGATATTTTAATTCAATCATATTTTAAATAGAAGAGTTTAGAAGTTTCTGACAGGAAGTACACTACTCAAAAGTGTAGAATTTAAAACAGATTTTCATTGTAAAAATGCCTGGTTTTCTGCCACTATGTGAATTTTAATTTTCTGCAGATCCCTACATAGTGCTAAAAAGAACTGGTTTTGCTGTAGACAGGTACAGTGCATGTTTTAATTTTAAACACATAGTAACTGAATAAAGCTGTTAGGTATTAAGTGGGTTGTGCCTTTGTGGATGGAGAGAATTTATCTTCCAGCATTCACTTGAAGTTTTTATTTTTATTTAAGGCTCGTGTTTTGGCAGTGTTGGACTGGGAACTTTCAACTGCTGGTAATCCTTTAGCAGATTTAGCATATGCCACTATATTCTACTTTTGGCCTACATCTGTTAAGGACTTAGGTCAAGGAACTGTCTTGGGTTTCAAAGACACCGTAAGTATGAAACTGTAATCCTTCTGTTGAAATGAATTCTAGGGTTGATTTCTAGTTGATATGTTACCATTATAAACAATAATAAACAGTTAAATTAATAAGTTGTTGTGGTTTAACCTCAGCCAGCAACTGAGCACCACACAGCCACTCGCTCAGTCCCTGCTCCCCCAGTGGGATGGGGGAGAGAATCAGAAGGGTAAAAGTGAGAAAATTCATGGGTTGAGATAAAAACAGTCTAATAATTGAAATGAAATAATAATAATAATAATAATAATAATAAAAGAATATACAAAACAAGTGATGCACAATGCAATTGCTCACCACCCGCCGACCGATGCCCAGCCAGTCCCCAAGCAGCGGCCCCCCCTGGCCAGCTTTCCCCCAGTTTATGTCATGACATCATGTGAGCATGACGTCACATGGTATGGACATCCCTTTGGCCAGTTTGGGTCAGCTGTCCTGGCCGTGCCCCCTCCCAGCTTCTTGTGCACCTCCAGCCTTCTCAGTCGGTAGAGCATGGGAAGCTGAAAAGACCTTGCCTGGTGTAAGCACTACTTAGCAACAACTAAAACATTGGTGTGTTATCATTATTCTCCTACTAAATCCAAAACACAGCACTGTACCAACTACTAGGAAGAAAATTAATTCTATCCCAGCTGAAACCAGGACAAGTACATCATTTTGCACTTGAAAAGAACTTTTCCATTGTTTTCTGCATTGTCGGAAACACGCTGATAGTGAGGTTTAAGGCAGTCCTGTTTTAATAAGCTGTGGCTTAGCCACAGCATGCTGCTTCTGTAAAAGTTTATTTTGAACCTTTCTTAGAGATAATGGAAGAAAACTAAAATTTAAATGTAAATTTGACATTTATTTAAAAAAAAAAGGCAAAAAAGAAACCCCATGGTGCAATTAATTTCCTGACTGGAGTGGAGGCGGGGAGCAGTAGGAAGTATTCTGCTTATCTGGAATTCTGACAGCCTCTATTTCCTTTTGGCTCTCCAAATCACACTTAGGTCATGAGAAATGATAAACATGTTTTTTACTATGTGAATGGAATAGCTCATAAAGCTGAAAAGCTGTACAAATATTTGAAGAATAAGGTGGAAAAAATCGTAGAAAATGTTGACTATTCTAAAATATTCTGGGTTTTTTTGTAGAAACTTCTTCATTTGAACAACTGGTTTCCATTTACTGCCGCTGCCGGGGTATTAGCACTAGTTTATCCAACTTTAATTTTTTTCTTGCTTTGTCATGTTTTAAAATGGCAGCAATATCCCAGGTAATACACTCACATTTGCTGAAATGTCACACATCTTTATTGTGACTATTTGTAGTTTGGTAATACTTGTTCAAAATATGAATTGTATTTAAAAAGTAACTGTAACCATTGTATTTCAGTTTGTTCCTTCAGAAGCCATATCTCAGGTGCTTGTGACTGATAACTCTCTAGGGTAGAATTCTTGCTACATAAAGTACATTGCATTAGCTATAGCTAACTTCTTAGGAAAGTAGGCTAAAAAAGAAGAAAATGTGGATATGTGGATTTTTTCTTATCGATGTTCCAGTATGCAGGCAATTTTGTCATTACCTTTTTGGACTCTCGGGCTAATTTAAATCCTGTATTGCAGAGAAACAAGTATCTTTCTAAGTTTCTGCAGCTCTCATGAAAGTAGATAGCAGGATAGATAAGTAAGATCCTGTTGGTGCCAGCCACTGATGAAAAAGGGTCTGTTGTGAACTCAGCTTATTAAGAGCATAGGAGACCAATCTTGGGATGTGATTATAGGAGAAAATAAGTTTCATTGCTTCATTGTTAACAGAAGTAACTGTTTAATTAGATATTCAGCCATTGTAAGGCATAAGTATATTTTTATGAGTTGCAGCATGAGATCAGCATACCAAATGTGGGGTAAGCTAACTGGTATTAATTTGGAGTAAGAGTATATATGTGGGTACTTAATGTAGTTGTGGATAATAATCATATGTGTATACTGTTGTCAGTTGGCTTAAGGGCCAGGCTGGGCTTGCTTGCAGTATCATGTGCAGATGTATTATTTTTTCCTTTTTTTTTTTCTCTACTAATTTTTATGATTTTCGTTTAGTTTAGTTTAGCTGGGGTATGTTGTTTTTCTCTTGTGCGCCAAGCATCTCCATTATATCAGAAATGGACCAAACCCAATATTAACATATCCCAGTAAAATCTGTCTGGGTGCTAATTTTTTCCTATTAAGAATACGTGCATTTAAGTGTTACTTTCATAGTTGAAGAAAGCACAAATCTAAAAAAAGAGACAATTTTAACTACATAATTATACCATATATACTTTTCTTATGGTTTTAGGGTGTATATGGTCGATATCTCATTGGAAATGCTTCTGCAGAGAATAGTCATGAATTTGCTAAGATTGTGAAGCCTTTGGCAGAGAGAGGGTTAGAGCTCTCAAAAAGGTAAGAGTGGTCTAAACTACTGGAGAAAGGCAAGGCAAAGCTTTTAAAATGTCTTCACTTATTTAAATGCCTGTATAAGGCAGCTTATATTATTACTTGTTACTGCATTGAATGTTCTTTAGGTCATCTTTCAGCAGCACACATCACAGCATTTCTGGAGAGTTGTTCTATCAAAGTAGGAAAGGCCAAGAAATTCTGCTGAAAGTCAAGCAGTTCATGAAGCAGCACATATATCCAGCTGAGAAGGTAAAAGCTTTTAGTAAACCTATTCATAAATGAGCATTTTATGAGTAGAGTTATAAAAACGTAAAGCTATGTATAGAAGTCATGCCCTCCTATGTTTTTTATCTTTTTTTAAACAGCCTTATTTTCATGCAGTGATGTTTGTGGCATTGCAAAATATTAACAGAAATCCTTATAGTCTTAATTAATTTTTTTGCAGAATTAAAATGTTGTATGCATTGTTAATGAAAACTGTGAGTTACTTTTTAAAGTTTAAGAAGTACTCTTTTTAAAAAGAGATACTTTTTAAGGGTATTTGCCAAAATACTTTTAACACTAACAAAACCCTAGAACTCTTACGTACTAAATGCAAAGACACTTAGTTAAAAAATAGAAACTGCTGTTTTTAACCATACAAAGTTGAATGTTTCTGTTTCTTGCCTTACTTTTTAAGGTATGACTTTTATGATGAAAAATGTGATTCCATAATGTATCAACGTAGCCTCATTTCTGAGTATATCTAATACCAGTGAAGATCTGAAATCAGATAGTGAAATATCCACAGAAGTCCCTAATTAGTGGCAGGGAAAATAAGATGAAGCATTTTACTTCTTAGCCTAGGGAGATTAGAAATTTTCTACTTAGAAAGTTGGTTCAACTTTTAGCCTCATGAAAGCACAGATGACTTTCGTAGCAGAATTGGGTTTTTCAGCTTTTTGGGTTTTTTGGTTTTTTTTTTTTTCTTCTTCTTTGCAGTCAGGCAGAACTGCAGAGGACGTATTAATCTAAAAGATTAATGCATCTGCCTGTCACAAGGCAGAAAGTCTTGATATGGAAAGTTTCTTAAAAATCTCTCTGTAACTATTTTTGGATTGTCCAAGGAAGCATTACAATAATTAGTGTACTTGCTTTAAAAACAAATGAACCACAAAGAGCCATGCGAGTTTTCCAGATGAGTAGCGTTGTGCTTGTAAGTTATTTCTGATAACAGGGATTGTGAATCAGGACTTGTAAATTCTACTTCGGAATTTGTCTTATTGTGTGATTTTCAGAAGAGGGCACTACTTTTATTCATTCTAAAACTAGTTCTGGGCCAGCTTTGGTGAAGTGCTGGGCCTCACTAAAACATACTTGTGAAAATACTAGGATTACTGAATACACAGCTTTACTTAGTACTAGTCACTGGTGCTCAGAATGACCGTTTACATAATCTGTTAAGGAATTATTTTGACAGGAAAAAAAAGTATTCTTTGTGTTTTTTCTGAGTTAAAACAAAAGATTAACTGGCTTATATATCTGAACATTGTGATGGGAAACCTGAATCTTAAGTGTCAGTACATCTGGCTTTTATTTGTTGTTTTACTTTTGGGCTTATGCCTCTTGTGCACACTGTTGGTAACAGTTACTTGTATTATCAGAAAACACTGACCTTCTACCATCATCATCACTTATTTTAAACCACCCCAAACCATTTCCCTGTATGAAATAAGGTACTGATTGGGGTCATCTCCATGATGCATTTGAAGTCTTGCAAAATGAATAAATTGCAGTTTGATTTTTGAATTATATTTTTAATTTTGTAATGCAACCAACTGTATAATAAAAACCTGTGTTGAACATTTTTTTATTGCCTTCTTGGGGTGAAGGGCTGGAAAAGACACCATATTATTACTTGTGTATGTTACATGTGTTCTTAATTTAAACAAGCATCTTTTTAATTGTTTCTCTAAGGAAATAATAAAACACTATGCTGGACATGGAAATACCGAGGAAAAATGGAAGAAACCACCACTGCTTGAGAGACTGAAAGTATGGGATAATAAATATTCTTGAGCACTCTAGCAGTAAAATAAACAGGCACTGACATGGAGCGTAAGAAAGTTTGGTGTATGCTGCTGGAGAAGTTACTCTGCGTAGAAAGAAACAGCGTGAGGAACAGTGTAAGGAAAGGAAGAAGGACGTGTACAAAAGGAGATGAGAGATACGAATGAGAGAGGAGAAAAGCAAAAGCGAGTTCTGTGAGGGGTATGTCTGAACTTCAAGTCAAACGCTGTACTTACTGAAAACAGCTATTGAAAAAAGGCATCTGATATATTGGGCAGTATGTTAGGCAGGAAGGAAGAAAATGGGCAGCAAGCCAGAATTTAATTTTTTTTTTTTAAGATTTATTGCTAATGTTTTTCTCTGTTGATTCTTTCAACAGGAAATGGCCAAGAAATGGCCAAAGCAGAAGGTCTGTGGAACCTTTTTCTCCCAGATGTCAGTGGTCTCAGCCAGCTTGACTATGCGCTAATAGCTGAGGAGACAGGGAAATGCTTCTTTGCTCCTGAGGTTTTCAACTGTCATGCACCAGGTTAGCAACCCTGCCCCGTAACTACAGCACTGAGAGCATTGAAACATTGGGCATCTTACAGCTTACAAGTTGTGTGTCTCAAGAAATAAACATGACTGCTGATTTCTTATAGACACTGGAAACATGGAGGTGCTGCACATGTATGGGACTGAGGAGCAACAGAAAGAGTAGCTGGAGCCTCTCCTAGAAGGGAAGATTAGTTCTTGCTTCTGCATGACAGGTAAATTTTTCTCCAGAAGAAAGTTAGAGGCAATTGGCAGAAATTTCACATGGCATATGCAAAAAGTATGAAACTACAGGTTATTATGTGTTAATGAATTAATACAGAAATTTCCACTGTATCTGTGAATATGTTTGAATATGAAATCATGTATGAGGTGTGAGTGCAGTGAAGCATCCTTGCTGCCCTTCCCCTGATAGTTACCATTTTTCGTGGTTACAATAATTAGTATTTGCTTTCCATATATTTTCAATTTATTTTTAGTGCTAGTAAAATACAGTTTATTGTACCAAACAGATTTACAATAGAACTTATCCTTTTTTGTAATGTGCTTTGGGGTTCTCTAGAAACATACATGTAGGTACAAGTATGATTATTGTGATTAAAGTTGTGTAGTTTTGCAGTATGTCACAGGTAGAGCTTTTAAGACATAACCTGAAGATAACTTGCAAAACATATGATGCACTTGCTTTATGTCTGTCGCTCAGCATTATATTCATTTTTGCTCTTGAAAGCGTGTAGCATTCAGCATCTGTGGAAGGCCTGGCTGTTGATTTAGGATGGTAGCTTTTGAACATGTGATGTCAAAATCTTGATCTTTCTGGGTCTGCAGGAGTTGAGAGAACTCAGTTTTGCAGAGCTGGACCTTTATTTTGCAAATTCTGTTTCACTGTGTTCGCCAAGAGGAAAGAGATGCTTTTGCTTTAAAGAAGGTGGCCTATAAAAGAAGTTAAGGGTGAACAGAGAAAGGAAGAATCTTTCCTATTCCAAACAATAATTGATGACATTTTGCTGGCAACTGCTTTGTGTAACCTATTTCATAAACCATCACAAAAGTAGTTTAAATCTCTTTTATTTTCACTTGAGAAGAGCCTAAGGGAAAAAAAGGCTGAGGAGAGATATGACTGTTATCTCTAAGTACATTGGAAGGGGGAAGGAATTAAAAACATCAGGGAAGGAAGAAGGCTGTTGACTATAAAGAGTAGTCTGAGCCCAAGAAGAAGTAAGTTTAAACTGGCTATGAATAACAGGTTGTTAGAAAATAGAAAGCCTTTGACCACTAGCAGAGCGAGGTTCTGAAAATGGCTTTTCTACTGGGAGCAAAACAGTGTTACTGGCAATATAGTATATCTAGATCCCTATATTTGTGGCGGTAGTACTACCTGTATATTTAATCCAGTGGTTTGTTCTGTTTTTATTCTTTAACACAGAACCTGATGTGGCTTCAAGTGATGCCACCAATATGAATGCAGCATTGAGTGAGATGGCGAGAAGTGGTGGAACAGTGGTAAGTACGGAAACCCTAAGTAAGAATGGCTAAGTCTAAAATTCTTTCCGAGAACTGATAAAACAAAAATATTTGTGCTCCATTTCTGAGATGGAAAATTGTCTCTTCTTGGGTAAAGGCAATAGAATGTAAAACAACGGAAAGAGCTGAATTGAGCTTTTGTTCTATGAAGCAAAGTCCAAGACTCGAATCCAATTTGGGGTTTTGGCCTTTCTGGAACCTCTGAGTTTTGTTCACAGAATGAATGCAACTATTGTTCCTTAAACATTACCTCTTTCCATCAGGTAACTTACACATTTATGGCCGTAGCCTTTAAACTTTGTTTTTATGAAGCTGTCTTTGGCAGCTTGTGTGTGAGGTTTGACTATACTCTTACTAGTTACAGTAAAGTTTGGCTGCTTTTTAAACTAGCCTGTGATGCTGTTGGACTGACTTTTACAGGTAATTCTCTTATACTGTACTTCCCAGAAAAATCAATGGATTAGACTGTAAGTGGCAAATGTCCTTGATATTATAGTACCATTACTTTTTTATTGAGACATACATGACAACAACTGGAAAATCACCATTCCCTGGGAGTTTGGAATCCAGCTACATAGACTGAGTTGCTAACTGGAGTGAAACTTGGAGGTTTCATTTATGTACCTTTGAGTGTGGCAGCTACCTACAGGTATATGCTTGTGCAATACCTAGACTCACCAGAAGATAGGGCTCTCTCTCTTTTCTAGTACTGCAGAACTGGCAGCAAAAGGAGGCATGATACTTTGTCTCTTGACCTGACAGTGTCGCTTAACTGCTGGCTGCTACCTTTGCTCTGGGTCAGTGTCTCCCAACTGTGCATTGCAGTTCCTAAGGAAGTAATGGGAAAGCTTGTAGGAGGTCACACACACAAAATATTATTCATAAAATTAGTTACGTGAATTATAGAAAAGAGAGTAAACATAAGAGAGTAAGCATGATTTGGTTTGTCTTATTTCTAATAAAAATAATTATGACAATCAGATTTGCATAAAAATAGATGCACAAAAGGCACTGCAATTTCAGGACGTTTGAGAAACACATACATGCAGCTCTGCCTTAGTCAGAGTCTCCTTTTCTGCCTGGTTGGTTTTTTGGGTGTGGTTTTTTTTGTTTTGGTTTGGGTTTTGGGTTTTTTTTGTTTTTTTTTCTTTTTACTCTGAGTGGGACATTAGGACCTTGGATGTTTGGGAATTCCAGAAGCCTGACAGCCGGGTCAGAATGTCACTCTGGGTGCAGCCACTCTTTACTTGTGAAGACAAATCATAAATCACACATGCAAGGAGTCAGTTGCTTTGTGGAAGAACTGGAATTTCTTACCATGTTCTGCATGGGTGCTTTGCACATCTACAGTAAATCCAGTATGACTTAAACATGTCAGATTTATGGTGTATGTGTAGACCATCTGTCGAGCACTTCTGACTTATCTGTTCACGCCCTAGTATTTCTCAAAATACTGGACAGAAGTATTTCTCAAAATACGGGGCAGAAATTCTGTAAGCTTTTGTCATCCAAGCAGAGAGAAGAGACTTGTGTCTTGTTTATGCTACTGTTGTTTCTTGTCTGTCATTTTAGAGCTTTTTCTTCCAGTCCGTAATTGTGTAACTAGGAACAGTGTCTAAAAATGAGAGATTCTTGTTGGCTTTCATAAGCCGTGGATCAGGCATTTTGTCAGAGCCCATGGGATGTGTGAAGGCAGGGACAGTATGCTGTAATACCACGGTTTTAATTTTGAAAGCTAATATGGCAATATATTTGAAATGCTTCCAGACAGTCATGGAAAACTGCTGTTTTCCTGGAATCCTCTCGAGCACTGTGGCAAGGGACAGCTTTGGTACCTCTCCATGGAAAAACTGTAAATCCCACTGACCATGAGCTCCATATGGAGTCAGAACCTCCCTCATTCATCAAGCAAGGCCTCTAGCCTTTGCTGGTTGATAAATGCCTATGATGAGAGATGTCAAGATCTACTAAAACAAAACAAACATAAAGATATGAATAAATGACAGCCAGTGCACTTTTTGTATTCTTTGATTTTATTGTATCTCCATATATTTTAGCAGATACAGTTATTGCAGTGTTTGATTCATTTTACAAATTCTGTCTAGAAATTCCAGGCCCTGTGTCTGAAGATTAGCTTAACTTCTTCTTACATTTCTGCTAATGCTTTGACTGCACTACTTTGGCATTTACATTTGACATGACATTTACAACAATTTAGAATGTGCCTCCCATAGGGCGCTGGTCTTGTTGAAGTTTAGGGTAAGCAGAAAAGGAGAGGTGAAAGGTCATTTTTGGTAGTTACAGAGAAGGAGTTACTGGTTTTTGTGGAGGATGTTGTTGTTGCTATACATATGTGGAAACACATAAGAGAATGGCTTCCCCCCCCTAGTTCTCAGCCACGAACGGATACCTCATTTCAAGCTGCAAGTGTATCTATGGAATGATAGCTGAGGAAAAAAATGGAACTGACTCACTAGGCAAATGTCCTAAAGTTTTACAAAGTAGTTGGAGAAACACAAGATTATTAACTTTTGGTACAAAAGTTCCTGTACTGCTCTTTTATTACTGATGGTTTCTTTTTCTGTTTTAATTATAAATTTAGACATGTACAGATTGTTCATTACACAGTTATTTAAGTGCCTAGTACTGTGACCCTTTTAAATTTAAATCCTGGGGGTTTTTTAGGTGTTTGGGTTTTGTTGTGGTTTTGGTTTTTTTTTTTTTAGTAAATAGCTCTAGTTGTTTCTAGAAATTTCAGTATTTAGTTCTTGCCTAATGCTTAATTTTGATCAACATGTTCCACTTCAAACTGCACTGTAGCGTCTTGGCTAGTCTGCAGGTTCAGAAATTAATCTGAAAGTTGACTTGCAGACAAACAGCTGCTGAAACAATACCCCCAGAATTAGTAAATAATTCCCTTGGTTATATAAGATAATGAGAGTAATGGAGAGTCTATATAGTGAAACTAATTGTTTCTTCAGTATGGTCTTCATAATTCACAGAAATTTCTTCAGATCTTTCGTTCTGTCGTTGTCTTCTCCAGTATCCATAATTTTTTGCGATTTTCATAATATGCATTTTAAAAGAGGCACCCAGAAAGGCATAGAGAAGAGGGTTCAGGCAGGTGTGAAACAAAGCTATGCTCTTGGTGACCTGGAGTGTGACGTCTGTGGTTTTACTTGCATCACAGTCAGTAATCACCACGTAGATGATATCTATCGCTCGCCAGAACTTAACAATGTTGTAAGGTAGCTGGGTAATAATGAAAGTAGCCACTACTGCCAGCAGAACCATGAAAGGTCTAGATTTTTTAGCATTTGCAGATCTAAAGATTGCTCGAGCAGTAGCTGAATAGCAGATCAGCATTACTAGGAAAGGAAGCAGAAATTCCAGGATAATTTCCAGGATTTGTATGGTTGCTTTTAAGAGTGTTTCCATGTTCATTGGAAATACAGGAAGGCATTCATTCCTGTCATTGTGTTTCTTGACTTGATTAAATATCAGTTCAGGGATACTGAGGAAAACGGCAGACAGCCAGACACAGATGCAGGTAACGCTGCAGTGTTTACCAATTCTTCTATGACCCCGGGATTCTGAAGTGGCCCTGTATCTATCCACACTGATACAGGCCAGGAACAGCATGCTAGAGCTGAAATTCATGGTGTACAGAGAAGAAGTGAGCTTGCACATTGAGTTTCCAAGTTCCCATCCCTGCACTGCATTTGCAGCCCAAAAAGGGAGTGTAAAGAGCAAGAGCAAATCAGCAGTAGCTAAATGCATGATGTACACATCCGTCTTAGTCTTCAGTTTCTTGCAATAGGCATAAATTGCGACCACTAATGAATTTCCAGCGACTCCAACAGTGAAAGCCAATGCATAGAACACAGGAAGGAATAATTTACTGAAATTTCTCACATAACTTTTTTCACAGAGAAGCTCATATGTATTGTAATCTATAACAGAGTTGCTATCATCCTCCTCGTCCTCAATCCAGTAATCAGTTGAGTTATTCATGTCCCAGCCCACGGCAAAGCTACAAGACACAAAAAAAGGGGGGAGAAGGGAACACCGAAGAAATAATACTGGTTTTCAGTTTTAAAATTTCTGTTGAAACCTAAAACCCTTGCTCAGGGTTGCTTATACATTTCAAGTTTAAAGAAGTTGGATATTGAGAAAACATTCATAAATAATCAAAGTAGAGCTAGACAGTGATGGAGGCAGAACAGACCAGCTCAAATTCTCATACGAAATGGAGTAACTGGCTACATCCATGTGTGCAATGCAAAGTAAAATGGATTCAATGGAAATGCTTTCATTAACCTTAGCGTTTGAGATTGCAAGGTGCTTGGAGTGTACCTCACTGGTTTCCGCATTTCAGTTGAGGAACCATCATTGCTTAAACTGCTCTGACTAGTTATGTTTGACAATATTCCATTGCAAAATAAATTTGTCTGTACCTTTATAGGGTTGAAATTACACCTTCCTCTCTACAGCCTCTGCAAAGCAAAGGAGTACCAGTTGAAGGCTGTAAATGCTATTACAATAGAGTGGATAAGGAATACTAATAGATTAAAGCTGAGAGGCAAGCAGTAGTATTCTGTGCCTAGTATCATAAATTTCGGCAAATTTAGGATATGAGTATAATATAGGGAGAGTGTCCTTGTTTGTTACTCAGGCACACATATACATGCCCATTACATAAAGCACAGCAATGGAAGTCAGTTGCTGAACAGCGGTGGAACAGGTTTAGTTTAGTCTCCATCCCACACAGCAAGCCATGCCTACGTGGAATTTCTTACAGAATCAGATTGCTGTGGGTACACTGCATCTTACAGCTGGAGACTTCTCAGGATGTTATGACAGAAAGGAATCTTATCACATACGAAACTGCCCACAAGTACCCAAACAGCTCAGAACCTCAGCTGTTTTTTCAAGTACTATCTCATGACAGATTTACTCCGTAAACCCTGAGGCTGTATTCTCACTGCCAGCTTAGGG